AATGGATCTAGCCAGGTTCAACGAGTGAGTTACAAAGCTAACCATATTTTCACGCTTTATGTCCAATTCTTTATTAACTCTTTGAGTCCCAAGGGGTTTAGCATCACAGGCCCAAGGGGTAGACAAGAGAGACGTAAAATCAGCGCATCATGCGTTCATTGGGCCTCTAGGTAGGAATCAATGAACGTATGATGCGTTCCTTGGGACTCAAAGAGTTAAGGAACAGTAATTAATTTGTAAAAATTTAATTTTTCTTATTAACATGCTCTTTGCACTGCACTAACAAGGTCATTGTTCCCCTGCAGAATTACTGTCTGTAGGATAAACCCCCAACAATGACATAAATATTCCAACAGGAACAAATCCCCAAGACCTCACAATTATATTGGGTCAACCTGTGAATAAGAAGTACTCAGCAGCCCTATGTGAGTGTGCAGTAACTAACTGACTTTTTTGAACTACCAAATGATGCATAGCTGGGATCACTACAATGGTAATTGGCTGGCATCGTGAAATAAATAAACACAAAACAAAGACTATGAAGCTCAATTAATTTTTCTATGTTTTTGACAATAAAAGGCGGTTGGCAACTATGATATTTGCCCCTTTCAGCCCAAAAAATTTGATTTCAGCAAATTCTGAATTGTCATTTTTAATGAAATGCTTGTCCAGAGGCAGTGGGTCTGTTCCTCCTAACTCCCACCCTCACATAAAAAATGGGGCCCCAGGACCTCAGGACCCCACAACCCCTGAAACAGGTCAGCTTCTAAAGATAATCCCTTTCTGTGGCTGCTCCCCTAAATAAGCCATGTGCAAAAGGTACATGATCATGCCAGTTTTTAATGTTTTGTATTTTTATTTTTCTGCATCCAGAATACAGGTCAAGGAGGAAATGGGGGCAATAATGGGGAAAGTGATGGAGGAGGTGGTGGTGGTGGAGGTGGTGATGGTGGAGGAGGAGGAGGTGGTGGAGGTGGAGGTGGAGGTGGTGGTGGTAGTGGAGGTGGTGGCAGAGGAGGGAACAGGCAACTACGAGCCCGGGTATGGCTAACAAAACCACCTGGCATCTTGTGCATGGATTAACTATACTGACATATATGTCATTTGAGACATTGCATGTTCAGACATTCTATAGTGAATGCCATTGTCTATCCCATATACTTGGGTCTCTCACTACAGAATAGCTTGCTGCCTATCAAAAGCTTCCCACAAAACATAGACTCCATTGCTCGATTGATCATCACAAGGGATCTCTACAGCAATTACAGCCATGAACCTAGAGACCTAGTCTGTGAAATGAATCCAGTACTTCCTGAGCTCAAAAGAAATGGCCTAACCATCTAGCCAAGGAGATTACCAGACATCTAAAGCTGTGACTGACAGACAGGAGCTAGCGAGATGCAAAGATGCTGGAGGGAAAAGGCTGGTGACTGTAGCATGGGGAGATGCCTTGAACTTAGGGAAAAAGAAGACTATGTCAGCAAGCATATAGTGGAGTATCCACACTTGATTGAAATGCATCAGTTATTGCTGTATCAAAGACACTGCATGCCCAAGACCTTATACATGAGGATACTGATTTCTCTTTCGTTTGGATGCATATCAGTTAAAGTAGTACAACTTGAAATCCATGCAAGAGCTCAAACTTGTTACATCAGCCAGTACAGAACAGCAGTTTTCAGTGTAAACACACTTTGAAACATGCTATGTAAAAGATTCACACTTGTTACATCAGCCAGTGCAGAACTGCAGTTGTCAGCGTAAACACACTTTGAAACATGCTATGTAAAAGATTCACACTTGTTACATCAGCCAGTGCAGAACAACATTGTCAGCATAAACACACTCTAAAACATGCTATGTAAAAGATTCACACTTGTTACATCAGCCAGTGCAGAACAGCAGTTTTCAGTGTAAACACACTTTGAAACATGCTATGTAAAAGATTCACACTTGTTACATCAGCCAGTGCAGAACAGCAGTTTTCAGTGTAAACACACTTTGAAACATGCTATGTAAAAGATTCACACTTGTTACATCAGCCAGTGCAGAACAACATTGTCAGCGTAAACACACTCTGAAACATGCTATGTAAAAGATTCACACTTGTTACATCAGCCAGTACAGAACAACAGTTGTCAGTGTAAACACACTCAGAAACATGCTATGTAGAAGATATGAGCACTTACTGACATGCCTAGTGTCCAGTAAAGATGATCTTGAAATTAACAATGAACAGTGTGTGCAACAGTTTTCATATTCATTATATTTGTTTTATTGCATGCTGTAACCTTTATATTTTGTTTTTAATGTCTTTTTGCATGGCAAAACTTTCAAATTTCTTTATTGTACAAGTAAATTGCATTACTTGCACAAACTTTCACATATATTGTGTCTGTTTAATTGCATGCTGTCACTGTTATTTCTTTTTTAATGTAATTTTATTCCTTGCACTAATGTCCAATAAATTTTATTGCATGAATTATATTTTGAATTCATCCTGTGGCTCAACTCTTTGAGTCCCAGAAGATTTAGCACCAGAGGCTCAAGGGGTAGTCAAGAGAGACGTAAAATAGGTACATCTTACATTCTCTGGGCTTCTAGATAGGAACATGTGAACGTATGCTGCTTTCCTTGGGACTGAAAAAGTGAAGTGTTGTGAACATGCTTGACCGCTCAGAACCATCAGTGAACTGCCTAACATAAAACTACCTGGCGAAATCACAAATAGTCCAACAAGGGTTGGTCTGATTGTGTAAATGACACACATTTACATTTAACATATATGTCATGATGTTATTAGCTTTGATATGTTTTATACAATATTTTTTAGACAGGGTTGGTTCCCTTCTCCTCTCCTAGAAGATTTGTACAGCATAATGGGGCGACAACTGTAAAGAGTCCAGATTTCTGACCTTTCACGCTAGAGAATCTCCAAAATTAGGACCTCAAATTTTTGAGCTATATTTGCCACCCACAGAGCCAAGAAATAAATTGATACTAAATAACACAAGGAAAAGAGAACAACAGAAGAGGGTGAACAAATAAAAAGAGATTGGAGCAAGCTGCTTAAGATGAGAAAGGATAGGGACCCGTGCTGCAACTTTATTGCCATGAATTAACTTAGCACTTGAGCTGTCAATGCTTAGATCATAAAGAGTTAAAATATACTACTAAGGAACAAACATATAATGGGTTTCTTGGCACAGAGTTAGTGTTCAATATACAGTGAATATATAATGAGATCTTTCATTGATATGCCCGGAATTGTGGTTGGTGGGCACAAAATAAACAATTTACGTTATGCTGATGACACAGTCTTGATAGCAACAAGTCAGAAAGAATTAAGGAAATGATAGACATTGTTAGAAAGTGGAAGAATGGGCCTCAGTTTGAATAATGGGAAGACAGAAGTAATGGTAGGATCAAAGAAACAAATTATTCCTAAATGTGTAATAAAAGTCAATGGTGTTATTTTAGGACAAGTACAGAAATTTAAGTATCTGGGCACATGGATAACATCAGACTGAAGATGCATAACTGAAATAAGAAACATAATTGGACAGGCAAAAATTGCATTTTATAAAATGAAAAACATCTTGTGCAATATATCCTTGTCATTGAGAGTTAGAAAAAAGAATTCTTGCTTGCTACATACATCCAGTTTTAACATATGGCTGTGAATCCTGGACAATCGGTAGACAGGCCAAACAATTTTTAGAGGCCTCAGAGATGTGGTTTTACAGAAAAACGCTTAGAATACCTTGGACAGCCAAAAAGAGCAACCAAGAGGTTTTGAAAGAGGTGGGAGCCCAAAGACAACTTATCACAGACATCAGAAGGAGACAGTCATCATTTTTCGGCCATGTTATGAGAAGAGGGAAAATAGAACATGTTGTGACCACTGGAAAGATCTGTGGAAGGAGGGATAGAGGAAGACAACGAGAGAAGATGATTGACAGTCTTGTTGCATGGCATGGAGGTGTGTCGGCACACAAACTGATACATGCTGCAGGAGATCGCAGATTGTGGAGAGGCATGATCACCCACGCCAGTCGGCAAGGCACCTGATGATGATGTAAAACCACATCTAACCACATAATTGGGATACATAATGTTAATTGAGTTCTCAGAGTATATGTTTGTTATTTTAAATGTATATATATATAAGATCTTGTGATTATTCATATTATTCATAAATGTAATATGTATTGTTTCATATTTGCTCTGATTTGGGTTGTGATTATGTTAGCCAATGTACTATAAATAATTAGTTAATCTCACTAACATGCGGATATATTGTTTTCTTTGTGTGCAAACATTGATTGTACTCCTCAGTATTATCTTTAGTGGAAACTTCTTCAAAGATGCCAAGAGCATTATTTACCCTTTTGGGCTATCCTCCGAATAACGGGCACTAAAGATGGCACCCGCAAAATATCCTTTCGAGCCTCAGTCACGTGTCAATTGCGCACTTCCGGCGTCCTAATTTGTGGTTTTCCGGCAGTTTTCCGGCGACTGCCTTCACAGCCACGAGTCCCCCACGCTGCTAATGCGGCATGGATTGGGCTAAACTAGATGGCTAGGACCCACGAGCAGCAGCTTCCGCATCTCCTGCAGCTTTGCTCGAGAGTCCTAGCCATCTAGTTTAGCCCCAATCCATGCCACGTGAGCGACGTGGGGGACTCGTGGCGGTGGCGGTAGTCGCCTGAAAACCGCCGCAAATTAAGTCACGTGACTGAGGCTGGAAAGGATATTTTGCGGCCGCCATCCTTAGTGCCCGTTATTCGGAGGAAAGCCCCCTTTTCATTGCTTGACCATACCACACAGATCTCTAGGACTGTTTATGTGTAGCAAAACACTTGTTTCAATTTTTTTGGGGGGGGGGTTTTATTTGCTTATGCCATTGCTAATTACGTTTTAATGAGTTCTTATTAAATAGAACATTGAGAATGGTAATTATTTTTCTCGTTTCTTTTTCTTCTTCTGTGGATGAAAAGATCAATGCCTTGGAGGAAGCAGTCAGGAGATTACAAACTGTAAGTAATGTATTGACGTGGAGTAGTGTGTTTACAGAAAGTTATCTGTTAACATTAAAGGTACTGACAGAATGTAGTGTGTCAGTAAATCGAAATTAATAATTATTAGCAAGCCATTTACAGAGTTCAAGAACCACCACAAAGGTTCAAATTCACATTGAGCCAACTGTTTTTTTTTAAATGCTTCCAGGTCGACCTAGTCTAAAGTGGGTAGCTGGTAAAGTTGTTGGAGGTAAAGGTGGCAGGCAAATGACCCCATCACCCACCAAGCGCTGGTTTTTCTATAAAATATTGGTCTAGCCCTATATGCCCACTATGCCCAAGGGTGTGGAATATGATCACTTACTTCACTTTTATACAGGGTTCTCAAGACAGTTCAGCAGAGAAACTCTCGACCATGTTGTTGCTCATTTAAAGGTCCCTTTCCATCGCCTTAATGCGTATTAAGACTATAGGCTGCACTTGGTGGGTGATGTGCTCAGCATCACACAGGCAGCATTTACATCCCAGGAATGCACTTGTTCCCCCACTCAGGGCTGGGTCGACCTGGGAGTCAAGGTCATTTTTGAAAAAAAAAAAAAGTCCAACCCCGTCAGGACGCAAACCCACGACCGACTGATCTGCAGGCGAGCGTCTAGCCACCAACGCCATGGCAACTCCCTTTTGCTGATCACTAGCCTCATGTTTATTCATGTTCCTGAAGTTGTAATATCCTATGCCCACTGTCCTATTGGTCAGCCTCTGCCTCTGCATCCAAATACAAACCCTCCATTATTGTTCTTTCTAAAGTAATCTATGATTATTTTATATAGCCAGAGTTTTCATTCATTCATTTATTGACTCATTCATTGACTCATTCATTTATTTTATTCATTCATTTATTCAGTCATCCATCTATTCAATCAGACTTGCATGCATACATTCATTTATTAATTCATTTGAATTTATTCTTGCATTATTCACTTGTTCATTACTTTGGTTCACAGTTAGTAACATTCATGTGAGGGAAGTATGTTTATCTTGCCTATCAAATTACTAAATGCAAATTACAAAATGCCACATCACCACTGCCATTGTCACCATCATCATCATCATCATCATCATATTATTATTATTATTACCTTCTTCATTATTGTTGTAATAATCATTTTAACATCCTTTTTTTCCCCTCATCGTCATCATCTGCATCATGATCATTATCATCATAGCTATCATCAACCTCATCATCATCATCAACAATATATCCAAGGCTTTTGTCTGGTGGTATGCAATGGTACACAGTACCGACACATACTTAACTCTTTGAGTCCCAGAGGGTTTAGCATCACGGGCCCAAGAGGTAGTCAAAAGAGACGTAAAATCGGCGCATCATGCGTTCATTGGGCTTCTAGGCAGTAACCTATGAACGTATGATGCGTTCCTTGGGACTCAAAGAGTTAAGGCACCATTTTTTCAGTGCCACTGTAATAGACACTTGTGTGGTGTGTATCAGCACTTTTCTTTTGTTTAAATGAAAAAAGTCATGAATTGATTAGTTATTAGGATCATTATGACTTGAGCATTCCACTTGTTCATTTTGACCACATTAGCCCTATATGCCTATTATGCCTGAAGGTGTGAAAAATAGGGGCATTACCTTAGTTACTTACTATTTCAACTATTTACAGCTTCTGACAACCAACGAGTGCCTGAGCAACCCGTGTCTCAATGGCGGCACCTGTGTGGATGTGTACAATGGCTATTTATGCAGATGTCCTCCAAACTGGCAGGTTAGTAACGCACACACACGTGCACGCATGCACTGTGCATGCACCGCGCACCCATGTGCATGCACACACTCATGCATAGAGAGAGAGAGAGAGAGAGAGAGAGAGAGAGAGAGAGAGAGAGAGAGAGAGAGAGAGAGAGAGAGAGAGAGAGAGAGAGAGACATACAAACAAAGACAGAAAAGGGCTGTTTCTTTTTTACTACCACCATTCTTATCATCATCATCAACTGCCAAATCATTATTATAGTTCAGAGGTGTCTGCCAGTCAGTATTATAGTTCAGAGGTTTCTGTCTGTCAGTAATATAGTTCAGAGATGTTGTCTTTCAGTATTATAGTTCATAAATGTCTGTCTGTCAGTATTATATTTCAGAGGTGTCTGTCAGTATTCTAGTTCAGAGGTGTCTGTCTGTCAGCATTCTAGTTCAGAGGTTTCTGTCTGTCAGTATTATACTTCAGAGGTGTCTCTCAGTATTCTAGTTCAGAGGTGTCTGTCTGTCAGTATTCTAGTTCAGAGGTTTCTCTCTATCAATATTATAATTCAGAGGTGTCTGTTCTTCAGTATTCTAGGTCAGAAGTGTTTGTCTGTCAGTATTATAGTTAAAAGGTATCTGTCTGTCAGTATTATAGTTAAAAGGTGTCTGTCTGTCAGTATTCTAGTTCAGAAGTGTCTGTCTGTCAGTATTATAGTTAAAAGGTGTCTGTCTGTCAGTATTATAGTTAAAAGGTGTCTGTCTGTCAGTATTATAGTTAAAAGGTGTCTGTCAGTATTCTAGTTCAGAAGTGTCTGCCTGTCAGTATTATAGTTAAAAGGTGTCTGTCGGTATTATAGTTAAAAGGTGTCTGTCTGTCAGTATTATAGTTAAAAGGTGTCTGTCTGTCAGTATTATAGTTAAAAGGTGTCTGTCAGTATTCTAGTTCAGAAGTGTCTGCCTGTCAGTATTATAGTTAAAAGGTGTCTGTCAGTATTCTAGTTCAGAGGTGTCTGCCTGTCAGTATTATAGGTCAGAGGTGTCTGTCTGTCAGTATTAGAGTTCAGAAGTGTCTGTCTGTCAGTATTATATTTCAGAAGTGTCTGTCTGTCAGTATTATAGATCAGAGGTATCTGTCTGTCAGTTTTATAGTTCAGAGGTGTCTGTCTGTCAGTATTCTAATTCAGAGGTGTCTTTCTGTCAGTATTCTTATTCAGAGGTGTCTGTCTGTAAGTATTCTAATTCAGAGGTGTCTGTCTGTCAGTATTCTAGTTCAGAGGTGTCTGTTCTTCAGTATTCTAGTTCAGAAGTGTCTGTCTGTCAGTATTATAGTTAAAAGGTGTCTGTCTGTCAGTATTATAGTTAAAGGTGTCTGTCAGTAGTCTAGTTCAGAGGTGTTTGTCTGTCAGTATTATAGTTCAGAGGTCTCTGTCTGTCAGTATTATAGTTCAGAGATATATGTCTGTCATTATTATAGTTAAGAGATGTCTGTCTGTCAGTATTATAGTTCAGATGTGTCTGTCTGTCAGCATTATAGTTAAGAGATGTCTGTCTGTCAGTATTATAGTTCAGATTTGTTTGTCTGTTAGTATTATAGTTCAGAGATATCTGTCTGTCATTATTATAGTTCAGAGATGTCTGTCTGTCAGTATTATAGTTCAGATGTGTCTGTCTGTCTGTCTGTCAGCATTATAGTTAAGAGATGTCTGTCTGTCAGTATTATAGTTCAGAGGTGTCCATTTGTTTTTATTATATCACTAACTCTTGAAAGTTGAAAGACATCTTGGTAGATATTAAAGAAATCTAGATATTTACCTAATGTTCTAAATTAAATTTTTTAATAAAATAGCTGATGCTGCTTCAGAAAATAGAAACTGCTTTGTTACTTGCAACATTCCACATTGTTACTTGCAACATTCAACATTGTTACTTGTAACGTTCAGCATTGTTACTTGCAAAATTCAGCATTGTTCCTTGCAACATTCAACATTGTTACTTGCAACATTTAACATTGTTACTTGAAACATTCAACATTGTTACTTGTAACATTCAACAATGTTGCTTGCAACATTTAACATTGTTACTTGCAATATTCAACATTGCTACTTGCAACATTCAACATTGTTACGTGCAACATTCAACATTGTTACTTGTAACATTCAGCATTGTTACTTGCAACACTTAACATTGTTACTTGCAACATTCAACATTGTTACTTGCAACATTCAACATTGTTACTTGTAACATTCAACATTGTTACTTGCAATATTCAACATTGTTACTTGCAATATTCAACATTGTTACTTGCAACATTTAATGGAGCTCAGGTCAGGAGCACATCATAGATTTTTTGTCCAAGACATGCAGGTGGAAGGGTAATAATCATTGTGATAAACTGGCTGCTGTCCCTCCTCTGGATGTCAGATTCTTTATAAGTGAACATGGTGAAAACTGTCTTGGATCCAGTGGATAGTTAACTGAAAGATAGAATATTTATTTCTGGGGAGACTGATTCAGTGGGGAGGAATTCAGAGTGTATGGAAAAAGAGCGATGGATCTGTAATTAGGTCGCCACATCAAGTCGCCACATCAGGTCACCTAATCAGGTATCCACATCAAGTTGCCACTGCGCCATCAGAGCAAATAATTTGTAATTGGTTGCTGAAGATGGTGAGGGAAAACACATGGAAATTTTCAGAGTGCAATGATGTCAGTCTTAATTGATTGATGATTGATTCATTCATTTAGTCAGATATGAATACAAGCCTGTCTATAATGTATAAAGATAATTTTCTACACTGGATAATGTAACATTCAAACATATACATCTTGTAAAGAAAATGTAAACATTTCCCTGTTGCCACAGTTTTATAAGTCAATTGTCACTCTGTGGGTGATAAGTATCATAATTCTTGCCCTTCACTGGCTTAAGAATTTTTTTAGGTTTAATCTTTCATACCATTCAGCACTACTTACAGCTGAACTGCCTTGTTACGCTGTTTAAATGTAAGCATTCTTCTTAATCTTCTTCTTCTTCATACTCACCGGCTGTAAATTCCAGGTGAACAGTCTAATTGTTTATCTACCCTCAAACTTTAGTTATGTTCCAGAACTTGGGAGCTGCATGCATATCCATTTGATAGATCATGCTTATTTGTTTGCAGACTGTTGGTTCCTTGCCTCTCAGGTAGATGCACTCCAACTTAGAAGAAAGCCTCCAGTTAGTCAACTCATACAACATGTGTTTTAAATATTTTTTTTGGGGGGGAAAGGGGGGGGGAGTCAGATGGTCTGTTCTTGTTTTCTCCAAAATGGGGCCCCAGAACACACACAATTCGATTTGATTTGTAGGTAACTAAATTCCAAACTTGCTCCTTGTTCACCTAGCTACATGCCCTGTTTTGTTGAGGAGAGTTTTCTAGCTGTCTTACTTGTACTCCAGATCTTTGAAGTGTGCAGTTACACCTGATTTCCTGTTTCTTGGTTCTTCCATATCTTGTAGGCTCTTGTGGGTCCTGGTTGGGTCTGGTCTTCTTGTCCTGTTCCTGTGGGTAATTGCTGTTTGTTGCTGGTGCTTGTCTTGCCGTAATACACAGGGAAAAAGTAATTATAGAAACATTTTCCTTACAGAGCCCACACTGTATTTAGGATGTGAATGAAAAATCATGTAATTATTTAACATATCCCTTACAGGGCCCAAGCTGTATGTACTTAAAAGGATGAGAATGAATGTGAAGTAATTATTTAACATATCCCTTACAGGACCCACGCTGTATACACTTAAAAGGATGAGAATGAATGTGAAGTAATTATTTAACATATCCCTTACAGGGTCCACGCTGTATGCACTTAAAAGGATGAGAATGAATGTGAAGTAATTATTTAACATATCCTTTACAGGGCCCACACTGTATGCACTTAAAAGGATGAGAATGAATGTGAAGTAATTATTTAACATATCCCTTACAGGGCCCACGCTGTATGCACTTAAAAGGATGAGAATGAATGTGAAGTAATTATTTAACATATCCCTTACAGGGTCCACGCTGTACTGAGGATGTCAATGAATGTTATGACTATGCAGGAACTGATATGGGCTGTCAGAATGGAGCCACTTGCATCAACTCTCCAGGAAGTTTCAGGTACTCTCTTCTTGATAATGTTTTCTGTTTTCTAGCAAGCATGAAGATTGGTCCTATATCTCACCAATAGGGACAATTTGGCTGCATCTGCACTCTGTATAAAATGGGATATACAGCATGCTACAGTTAATACAGCTCTGGAGAACAAGTATCCATTAAAAAGTTGCAAAAGACTGAAGATATGGGACAATGAGTAACTAGAATTCACTGACTGAAAGTAAAGTTGCAAAAGGAAACCACATCACAGCAACCTTGGGTGTCAGGAGACAACCGTCTTGGCAAGTAAGCACACTAACCACTCTGCCACCACAGACCCTTGCAGCCATGAGCCCTTTTACATTGACTTATCTTTGTCATGGTGAAAAAGGTAGAGACAGACCTGCTCTGTGGGAACCGGTAAGAATCACTTCAGGGATCCAGTGTAGCTAGTGATCTTGAGAACTTTTGTTCGGGTCATGCCTGTGAGTTGGGAAATGAACAGGCAGATAGATTGGCTTGTTTTGCACCACTGTGTGGTGAATTGATGCATGACAAGTTAGATGTGGTGAAGGTCCATTGGGAGCAAGCGAACATGTGGAGGATGGAATAGATAATTATGGGGTTGTGAGAATAATACAGTTACTAGTAACCAGCCGATCTGGCTAACACTGACAAGAAAGGCAATGATGATGAAACAAGTGCAGCCTTCAGAACTTTTTGCTGGCTTCTGAAACTGAGGATGGAGTGCATATGGGAATGTCCTGAGTGCTGTGATAGGTAATGATAGAGGTAAAAGTGAGAGGATTGACTTCATTACAAAGTTAGGTGCTTGCCGAGAGCATCACACAGAGTACAACCTCAGTAGCTACAGCAAAGTTCCCCTGGGATCTCAGTAAAATTTGACTCCTGAACTAAACAGCTGTGAAATAACACCATGACCTTCAAAGCATGAGGCAAACGGCTTGACCTCTTCACCGCGGAGACCCCGAGTGCTGTGATATCATTTCTCAGCCCAACTCAGTTCTCCAGTCTTTACAGTCATGAAAAATTGTATGTAAACTTATCATAATCATCATACTTGTATGCCATTTATAAAACACATAGGGCTCACAGTCTATTCCTCCACTCTGTTCAATCATGCAGATTTATTTGATACCATGGATACAATCCAGTCCATCATCCTTGGACTTTCTCATTCAATCAGCATCCATTTGAGGGTTTTCCTGGGCTTCCTGCCTTTTTCATCAGGTCATTTGCTTTCCATTTGTACGCCTTTCTGCTGAAATACCCAGCTTGCATTTTTCAGCTACTCCTCTGCTACCTGTGTGTTGTTTATGCCATAGTTCAAATATATCAAATACCGTTCTTCGTCTTTTTTTTGTTGAGCTAAGCAGTGTGCATGCCTGACTACAGGTTTCTGCAGAGTGGCTTTCATCAGCAACCATCATAACTGCACTTTGTATGAATTTATGTACATCTAAATGTGTGTCTCTCCCTTCTCTCTACACATCCCAGATGTCAGTGTACAACAAACTGGTACGGAATTCATTGTAGCGAACAGCATAATGATTGTACAGGGGCCTCTCACATGGAGCTGTGTGGTCATGGGACATGTGTCAATGAGGACAGGATTGTTGCAGGACAGGTAACTTGTAGAATCTTCCTAATCTCTCCTCTCTCTCTCTCTTCTTTCTGTCTCTCGTTCTTCTGTCTGTCTGTCGGTCGGTCGGTCGGTCGGTCGGTCGGTCGGTCGGTCGGTCGGTCGGTCGGTCGGTCGGTCGGTCGGTCGGTCGGTCGGTCGGTCGGTCGGTCGGTCGGTCGGTCGGTCGGTCTGTCTGTCTGTCTGTCTGTCTGTCTGTCTGTCTGTCTGTCTGTCTGTCTGTCTGACTGTCTGACTGACTGTCTGTCTGTCTGTCTGTCTGTCTGTCTGTCTGTCTGTCTGTCTGTCTGTCTGTCTGTCTGTCTGTAACATTTTATATAGATTTGTTCTTTTTTTAGATTATTTTTATTAAAAACATTTTTCTTTTCGGTCTTATATTTCTTTTTTTTTTCTTCTTCCCGTTTCTCTCTTTTTTTTCTTTTCATTCTACTAGTATCTTCTGCTTTTATTTGATCTATGCTTCTTGTGTCGACATCTGTGGCTTAGGTATTACAAATGGGCTTTGTCATGCCGGGTGCTTGGTTCAATCCCAGCTGTGAACAATTTATCTTGCATTGGTTTTAACAGTGGTACCAAATGCTTTCTGTTCAGAAAGCAATGGCAAACTACTGAAAGTAAAATCTGCCTAGAAAAACCACAACAATTGCCTTGGGTTGATTATTCAGCGTCCCAGACCACTGTTTCAGCATGTAAATATACTAACTACTCAGCCACTGCTGCTAGTAAGAATACAAATAAAGTTAAAACCTAATTAAAGCAAACTTGCTTAAGACAAACACTCAGTTACCATAAACAAAATAGGCAACCAACAGGAAAGTATTATTCATTTAAAAAATTCATTAATCCTCGGTTAGTACCACATTCTTGTAACAAAAGCTCTTGATTTTTCAGTTGCCTAGAATTTGTGCTAGCCAGGTTTTACTGTATAAGGTCAGATGAAAAGTAGCTCCTGGGATTTAGCCATGCATGTTGAGAAAGGTTGTGACAGGAATGCTCTGCACAGAGGGAAAACACTGGTCCTGGGTAGTTAGCATCAGGTAATCTGGCAGATTACCAGTCAGCATCAACTGAATATTTTATCCAGACATGTCAATGTGTTGGAACATGAACAGCAGATGGATTGGCTGGTTTTGCACCACTTGGTGGTAGATTAATGCATGGCAAGCTAGATGTTATGAGAACTCTTTGGGAGCTAGTAAACAATGTGGTAGCACAAACAGATCATCAATGGTGCAGCGAGGAATTACTAGGGGATTTGGCCGACACACAACATTCAGAGGAGAGGCAGGCTGGACATACGATCAGACTGTTATTTGTACCATCTGAATTTAATTGGAGCTAATAGACTGAAATGGTTGGGGCATATTAAAAGAATGTCAGATGACAGAGAACTAAAAGCTGTATACACCAGGGAGATGAATGGTCATAGAACACGAGGGAGTCCAAGAAGACGATAGAGAGATAATATCCAAACAGACCTGCAAACACTTGGTGTTACCAACTGGAAAGAGAGGGCCAACCAGAGAGATGAATGGAGGCGGGTGATATTTGCAGCAAGGGCTCAGAATGCTGAAGAAAAAGAAGAATTTAATCTCTACACTTGCTGCTGAAGATGGGGATAGAGAGCTTATTGTAATGTCCCAAGTGCTTTGATGTTGGTTCCTAATTTAAAACTGTATAATATTTCCGTGGTGTATTTCTTACCATTCCAACAGCCCAGGTATCGATGTATCTGTGAAACAGGATGGACAAAGTCCAGCTCTGGCCCAGCATGTATCGTAGATGTTAACGAATGTGCAACTGGTACTCACTGCTCTATCGACCCCCCTGTTCAGTGTTTCAACATCCCTGGCTCATTTGTCTGTGGCCACTGCCCACATGGTAATCATCCTTGTTGTGTTTGTTTCACTGCTTCACCTGTTGTACCTGTAAGTACCAATGTGTATGTTGCTTCTTCCATTGCTAGATCATCCCTTTGCTGGAACCCACAAGGTGCAAGAAATAAAGGAAGACTTGAGAAACATGAGGATAAGAAGTAGAGACACAGATGAAAGATGTCAACAAATGAATCAGCATGTCCTTGACAAAACATTGCTCTCTCCACAACATACCTCAGAGTCTCTTTCTTTAGCCAACTTTCCACAACACACCTGAAAGTCTCTTTCTCTAGCCAACTCTTCACAACCCACCTGAAAGTCTCTTTCTCTAGCCAACTCTCCACAACACACATAAAAGTCTCTTTCTCTAGCCAACCCTCCACAACACACCTAAAGTCTCTTTCTTTAGCCAACTCTGCACAACCCACCTGAAAGTCTCTTTCTCTAGCCAACTCTGCACAACCCACCTGAAAGTCTCTTTCTAAAGGGCAGAATGTAAGACAGGCCTGTGTGCCCAATTCTCAACCCTTTTAAAATAAAGTTTGTTCGTTCGTTCGTTCGTTCGTTCGTTCGTTCGTTCGTTCGTTTCTCTAGCCAACTCTCCACAATGACACCTGAAAGTCTCTTTCTCTAGCCAACTCTCCACAACACACCTGATAGTCTCTTTCTCTAACCAACTCTTCACAACACACCTGAAAGTCTCTTTCTCTAACGACTCTCTATCTTCAATGTCCTCTCTCCACAACACACCTGAAAGTCTCTTTCTCTAGCCAACTCTCCAAAACACACCTGAAAGTCTCTTTCTCTAGCCAACTCTCCACAACCCATCTGAAAGTCTCTTTTTCTAGCCAACTCTCTGCAACACATCTGAAAGTCTCTTTCTCTAGCCACTTTCCACAACATACCTGAAAGTATCTTTCTCTAGCCAACTCTTCACAACCCACCTGAAAGTCTCTTTCTCTAGCCAACTCTCCACAACACACCTGAAAGTCTCTTTCTCTAGCCAACTTTCCACAACCCACCTGAAAGTCTCTTTCTCTAGCCAACTCTCCACAACACACCTGAAAGTCTCTTTCTCTAGCCAACTCTCCACAAAACACCTGAAAGTCTCTTTCTCTAGCCAACTCTCCACAACACACCTGAAAGTCTCTTTCTCTAGCCAACTCTCCACAACACACCTGAAAGTCTCTTTCTCTAGCCAACTCTCCACAATGACACCTGAAAGTCTCTTTCTCTAGCCAACTCTCCACAACACACTTTAAAGTCTCTTTCTCTAGCCAATTCTCCACAGCACACCTGAAAGTCTCTTTCTCTAGCCAACTCTTCACAACACACTTTAAAATGTCTTTCTCTAGCCAATTCTCCACAACACACCTGAAAGTCTCTTTCTTTAACCGACTCTCCATCTTCAGTGTCCTCTCTCCACAACACATATGAAAGTCTCTTTCTCTAGCCAGCTCTCCATCTTCAATGTCCACTCTCCACAACACACATGAAAGTCTCTTTCTCTAACCGACTCTCCATCTTCAGTGTCCTCTCTCCACAACACATATGAAAGTCTCTTTCTCTAGCCAGCTCTCCATCTTCAATGTCCACTCTCCACCTTCACAGAGTACCTTGACCTGTACCTTATTTCTCATAAACTGCTCCCTCCATCACCATTCTCTCCAGACCACCATGGTGCTTGACATGTCCAAAATACCTCAGATTTTCAGGAAGGATGCCGTTTATGAGCCAATTCTCCTTAATGTTTAGCTCATGGAATATGTTGGCAACTTTCTTGTTCTTGGTCGATGGTATTCTGAAAAATTTTCTTTAGCATTTCAGTTCAAATGCTTCAATTTCTGTCTTCAAAGACCCGGTGAGACTCCATAACTCACATTCATAATTTGCCACAGGAAAGAAAAACAACAGGACACATAAGTGGAAGATGCTGCCATAGATTGCAAAAGATAAAATGCCCAGGACTGTGCAGATTGCAGGTCAGTGCTCTTGAGTTGAGTCAAGAATTGACATGACAGCACTCGGGGCATTGCCATGCTGGTCTGTACTTTTAATTTGAGTCAAGAATTGATATGACAGCATTTGGAGCATTGCCATGCAGGTCTGTGCTTTTATGAGAGATGAAAGGAAGAAAAAGAATTACCTGTTCAAGTGTTCATTTCTTCTTGTTTTCTCTAGTCCTGTTCTCTAGTCCTGTTCTCTAGTCCTGTTCTCTAGTCCTGTTCTCTAGTCCTGTTCTCTAGTCCTGTTCTCTAGTCCTGTTCTCTAGTCCTGTTCTCTAGTCCTGTTCTCTAGTCCTGTTCTCTAGTCCTGTTCTCTAGTCCTGTTCTCTAGTCCTGTTCTCTAGTCCTGTTCTCTAGTACTCTTCTATAGTCCTGTTCTCTAGTCCTGTTCTCTAGTCCTGTTCTCTAGTCCTGTTCTCTAGTCCTGTTCTCTAGTACTGTTCTCTAGTCCTGTTTCCAAGTCCAAGTCCTGTTCTCTAGTCCTGTTCTCTAGTCCTGTTCTCTAGTCCTGTTCTCTAGTCCTGTTCTCTAGTCCTGTTCTCTAGTCCTGTTTCCAAGTCCTGTTCTCTAGTCCTGTTCTCTAGTCCTGTTCTCTAGTACTGTTCTCTAGTCCTGTTCTCTAGTCCTGTTCTCTAGTCCTGTTCTCTAGTACTGTTCTCTAGTCCTGTTCTCTAGTCCCGTTCTCTAGTCCTGTTCTCTAGTCCTGTTCTCTAGTCCTGTTCTCTAGTCCTGTTCTCTAGTCCTGTTCTCTAGTCCTGTTCTCTAGTCCTGTTCTCTAGTCCTGTTCTCTAGTCCTGTTCTCTAGTCCTGTTCTCTAGTCCTGTTCTCTAGTCATGTTCTCTAGTCCTGTTCTCTAGTACTGTTCTCTAGTCCTGTTTCCAAGTCCTGTTCTCTAGTCCTGTTTCCAAGTCCTGTTCTCTAGTCCTGTTTCCAAGTCCTGTTCTCTAGTCCTGTTTCCAAGTCCTGTTCTCTAGTCCTGTTCTCTAGTCCTGTTTCCAAGTCCAAGTCCTGTTCTCTAGTCCTGTTCTCTAGTCCTGTTTCCAAGTCCAAGTCCTGTTCTCTAGTCCTGTTTCCAAGTCCAAGTCCTGTTCTCTAGTCCTGTTTCCAAGTCCTGTTCTCTAGTCCTGTTTCCAAGTCCAAGTCCTGTTCTCTAGTCCTGTTCTCTAGTCCTGTTTCCAAGTCCTGTTCTCTAGTCCTGTTCTCTAGTCCTGTTTCCAAGTCCTGTTCTCTAGTCCTGTTCTCTAGTCCTGTTCTCTAGTCCTGTTTCCAAGTCCTGTTCTCTAGTCCTGTTCTCTAGTCCTGTTTCCAAGTCCTGTTCTCTAGTCCTGTTCTCTAGTCGTGTTCTCTAGTCCTGTTCTCTAGTACTGTTCTCTAGTCCTGTTCTCTAGTCCCGTTCTCTAGTCCTGTTCTCTAGTCCTGTTCTCTAGTCCTGTTCTCTAGTCCTGTTCTCTAGTCCTGTTCTCTAGTCCTGTTCTCTAGTACTGTTCTCTAGTCCTGTTCTCTAGTCCCGTTCTCTAGTCCTGTTCTCTAGTCCTGTTCTCTAGTCCTGTTCTCTAGTCCTGTTCTCTAGTCCTGTTCTCTAGTCCTGTTCTCTAGTCCTGTTCTCTAGTCCTGTTCTCTAGTCCTGTTCTCTAGTCCTGTTCTCTAGTCCTGTTCTCTAGTCATGTTCTCTAGTCCTGTTCTCTAGTACTGTTCTCTAGTCCTGTTTCCAAGTCCTGTTCTCTAGTCCTGTTTCCAAGTCCTGTTCTCTAGTCCTGTTTCCAAGTCCTGTTCTCTAGTCCTGTTTCCAAGTCCTGTTCTCTAGTCCTGTTCTCTAGTCCTGTTTCCAAGTCCAAGTCCTGTTCTCTAGTCCTGTTCTCTAGTCCTGTTTCCAAGTCCAAGTCCTGTTCTCTAGTCCTGTTTCCAAGTCCAAGTCCTGTTCTCTAGTCCTGTTTCCAAGTCCTGTTCTCTAGTCCTGTTTCCAAGTCCAAGTCCTGTTCTCTAGTCCTGTTCTCTAGTCCTGTTTCCAAGTCCTGTTCTCTAGTCCTGTTCTCTAGTCCTGTTTCCAAGTCCTGTTCTCTAGTCCTGTTCTCTAGTCCTGTTCTCTAGTCCTGTTTCCAAGTCCTGTTCTCTAGTCCTGTTCTTTAGTCCTGTTTCCAAGTCCTGTTCTCTAGTCCTGTTTCCAAGTCCTGTTCTCTAGTCCTGTTTCCAAGTCCAAGTCCTGTTCTCTAGTCCTGTTTCCAAGTCCTGTTCTCTAGTCCTGTTCTTCAGTCCTGTTTCCAAGTCCTGTTCTCTAGTCCTGTTCTCTAGTCGTGTTCTCTAGTCCTGTTCTCTAGTACTGTTCTCTAGTCCTGTTCTCTAGTCCCGTTCTCTAGTCCTGTTCTCTAGTCCTGTTCTCTAGTCCTGTTCTCTAGTCCTGTTCTCTAGTCCTGTTCTCGAGTCCTGTTCTCTAGTCCTGTTCTCTAGTCCTGTTCTCTAGTCCTGTTCTCTAGTCCTGTTCTCTAGTCATGTTCTCTAGTCCTGTTCTCTAGTACTGTTCTCTAGTCCTGTTTCCAAGTCCTGTTCTCTAGTCCTGTTTCCAAGTCCTGTTCTCTAGTCCTGTTTCCAAGTCCTGTTCTCTAGTCCTGTTTCCAGTCCTGTTCTCTAGTCCTGTTCTCTAGTCCTGTTTCCAAGTCCAAGTCCTGTTCTCTAGTCCTGTTCTCTAGTCCTGTTTCCAAGTCCAAGTCCTGTTCTCTAGTCCTGTTTCCAAGTCCAAGTCCTGTTCTCTAGTCCTGTTTCCAAGTCCTGTTCTCTAGTCCTGTTTCCAAGTCCAAGTCCTGTTCTCTAGTCCTGTTCTCTAGTCCTGTTTCCAAGTCCTGTTCTCTAGTCCTGTTCTCTAGTCCTGTTTCCAAGTCCTGTTCTCTAGTCCTGTTCTCTAGTCCTGTTCTCTAGTCCTGTTTCCAAGTCCTGTTCTCTAGTCCTGTTCTCTAGTCCTGTTTCCAAGTCCTGTTCTCTAGTCCTGTTCTCTAGTCGTGTTCTCTAGTCCTGTTCTCTAGTACTGTTCTCTAGTCCTGTTCTCTAGTCCCGTTCTCTAGTCCTGTTCTCTAGTCCTGTTCTCTAGTCCTGTTCTCTAGTCCTGTTCTCTAGTCCTGTTCTCTAGTCCTGTTCTCTAGTACTGTTCTCTAGTCCTGTTCTCTA